TCATGAGAGTGGACTTTGATGCAGCATCTGAGCTGTCCTGAGCATCAGACTCCCAACTCACATTGCAGCTTATTGGAGCAAACCTTGTATGTACAATGCAAGGAAACCTCTACCCACAGCCTAAGAGTGTGTTTGACAGCAAGCATGTATGTGTGTAGATGGATATTTTCCTCCCATTGGCTATGGTCTTTTGAAAATGAGCAAGGTTGGTTGTGGTTTAACTGCTCTTAATTTATCTTATAACACCCTAGCCACTGCTTGCACAGCCCCAAACAGTAGTGATCCGTAGAGTTTGAGCATTTTACATGAATCAACCACATTGGACAGAGCATGTAAACAGAAGAAACCTGAGAAAATAACACACCAGCAGCCACAGCTGCACCTTCCTGCTACCCAGGCTGTCCCCTCCACCACCTGTGCTCTCCCTCTCTGTACCGCCTAGTTCAGGGCGGCCCAGGCCCAGTGCGGAAGGAAGCTGCTCAGAAGTTGGAAACCACAGGAGACACTGCCAAGTAGTGGCTGGCAGTGAAGTCAGCTCCACAAAGCTTTCAGTGATTTGCAAGTTTCCCCTCTTTGGTTCTACTCTTTCCCAAGGAAGATATAGTTCCAGGCCTCTAAGGAGAGGGCCAGGAATTTGACTTAGAGAATTCTGACCAAATTCATGAAACTCAAGGAGAAGATCCAGCTAAATTTAATCTTTCTTGGATCTCATGGGTCTTATTTTGTTTCCAAAGGAGAACCACTCTTGGTTTCCAAAAGAATGCATTTCACAGAAACTGAAGCTCATTGTCAGGAAGAAACAAGAAATTTTTCCCAATTTTGAATAAGACATTGTTTTAACTTTCTGTATAATAATAATGACTTTAAAAATATTAGTTAAAGAAAATAGAAAACCACAGAATCTCTTATCATTTTTTCATCCTCCTAACATACATTGAACATGTTGTTTTATGCCTATTATTGTAGATATACAGACAAATATAAATGAGTGTCATACCTATTGAGTGTTATTACTCAATAGAAAAAAATGATCAAAGGCATGAACAAATGGTCCACAGAAAAATCAATATAGACTTTCAATATATGAAAAGATGCTTCTCCTGACTCATAGTAAGAGAAAAGCACATTACAACTGCAATGAGAGACTATTTTTCACCAGTCCAATTAGAAAGTCCTGAGGCACATGCTTGGCATTCACTAACCTGTGGTAGAAGTACAAAATGGTGTTCCCTCTATCATAGATTTGTTGGCAATACCTATCAAAACAATCATCACACACATTCAAAATAACAGAAAATGCTATCACAATTTCAGCATTTCTTCTAAGACCAAAGATTGGAAATGAGCCAATGGTGTGTCACAGGGAACTGATTGCATAAGGTGCTGCACATTGACCAGTGAAATCTCATGCAGTCGTGTAAGTATCTACACTGACATAAAAAGAGCTCTAGATATCTAAGAGAAAAGAGAAATGCAGAATAACATGTAATGTTTACTACCTCTGTGTAAGAAAGTAGGAAATGAGAATAAACATACAGGGATATATATTTACATGTGTACATTCATATTTGCACAAATAAAAACTGAAAGGATGCACAAGACACAAAAGTCTGACCTGTGAGAAGTGGGGAGATAGAGACAGTGCTTGAAGCAAAATCTCTTAATTCATTTTTAGAGTTTTTTGATTTTTGAACTGGGGAAAGTATTATCTAACAATTTGTGTAGGGTCGTATTATGTATATTATTTTTTCAACAACACTTTCTGATTAAGTTTACATTTCTTTAAATAATCTACACTCTTTGAGGTTGGTTATTATATAGTTTCATGACATCTTTTAGGTTATTTTGTAGTTTCTTATTGGGCATTTGTTTAACTTGTGGCTGCTATAAATGATGCTACAGTAAATGAACATCCTTGCACATAAAGCTTATTACATACCTTTCATTTCCTTGGGATATTGATGGGTTGAATTGTAATAACATTTTCCTGGCTGCAGCACATTCTCACTTATGTGATGGGCTCTGTGACGGCAGCTCACTGCATGTGATCTGGGACAGTAGTGCGGGAGCTCAGGAGATATTTCAGTCACTTGCTGGCCTCCAGTGAGTGAATGTTAGAATTAATGAAGGAGGTTTTTTAAAGTCCAATGCCTGGCCTGTGATGAATTCTGGGCTTCAGGGGTTTTTAAAGGCTCCCGAGAGCAGAGCCATTGACATAATGGATAAAAAGCAGGTCTTAAGTCAGGCAGACTTGGAGTCAATTGGACCCAGGCACTACTCTATGCTTAACCTTGTGCATATTTCTTAGCCTCTTCGGGACCTAGTCTTCTCATCAGTGAGATGAGCGTGATACCGTATGCGGTACAGTGAGAGCATTAGACATAAAGCATGTAAACTGCCTAACAGAATTCCTGATGCTCACTAAGTTTCAGGTGGTTGCCATTATTCAACAAAAGCAAAGACAGCAAAGAAGCAAAAATAGAATAACTGTACATGATAGAGACCATGTATTTACTGAGAGAAGATTTCATGGTTAACAAAATGTTGAGTTTCTCGCCTGTTGGGTGAATTGTATCATGTTGGTCTAGTATCTCTGGTTATCTCCTATTACTTAGGATTTCTACATGGCAGTTGTATAGGCCTTTTTGTAAGACAAAGGAGACAATCAAAAATTATTTAATTATGGCCTGTTTGACAGAAATCCTTCAAAAATGAAGTCATTGAGGAAAAGAATTCCAAATGGTAAAGAGGAATCATAGTTGGGGAATTTTGAGAATTGTTGCTTTGAGGTTTCCCTCTGTTACAGTTGAGAAGTGTGCTGAGACTCTAGCTCTATAAAGGCTGTTGAGACACAGGTGTTTTTATGTAAAATTGTGTACATCTTTGCCTACTTTTTCCATTGCACACCTGTGGATGCAACCTGCTCTTCTGGTATTTATTTTATCCAACCAGAGGACATGGTCTTTAATCACAGAAGCACTATTAGTGGGTGGAGGTCAGTGTATAAAAGTCTTTCCAGCATGAGAATTCTGTGGCAAGCTGGCCTAAGACCCTCGAATCATACGAAAAGCATAGGAGCAAGGAGAGGAGGTGTGGACAGCTGAAGAGGCCGTTGTCTTCATCAGCTCTTAGCCCAATAAGGAGAGAAATTTTCCTGTTTAAGTTGAAACTAAAGTAACCTGTGTCTACTCTAGTAGCAAATAATGTAGAATAAAGAGCAGAGCTCCTGCAGTCGGCCTGCTGGGTTCAAATCCCAGCTCTCTTTCTTATCAGCTGTCTAACTAAGGGGACATATTCACCCCTCGCTGCTTGTTTCCCCACCTGTAAAAATAGGTAATTGTATATATCTCACAGGGGTCTCCTGAGAGTAAAATAAGTCAACGTGTACTTAGACCACTACCAGGAAGCACTGTCCCAGCATTTGCTGTTAATACTGCATTAGAATGTTAATCACTGAATTTGCAAGCACTAGAAACCTGAAATTATTTAATTGGAACACTTTATTCCAAAGCTGGGTAAACTTAGGCAATGTAACACGGTCAGGAACAAATGTTACAGCTGGTTAGAGCCAGCCCAAGGAGCCGAGGCTCTAACTGTGGGGTGTGAGGTGTGACTGCTGGGCCGGTTTGTCTCCGACCACTCCATGTGGCAGTCGTGCTGTGGTGGAAAACTACTGGGCCAAAAAGAATGCATAAACTACCTCCTAAATCAGAAATGCACCTGAACCTACCAGACGATTCCACAGTTGATTCTGAGGTCCTCCGGGCCCATTCAGCGTAGGGGAGACACTGTGGTGTCAGAAAGGTGCACCCAGAGAGCGCCATCAACGGGCTTCCTCTGCCCAAGGATCTCGTTCCGTTTCACTGGCAGACCCCCAAAAAGCTGTCACAAATCTAGAACACACACTCACAAAATAAAGTAGGATTTCCATTGTGTTGATAACAAAGGGAATAATTATTGTAATAACACTATGTATAAGAGGAGAAAACACAGATGCACCCAGAAATCATTCAGGAAATTCTCACTGATTCCTTGCAGGATGCCTTTAGTAAAGAAGCAGTGCAGGTTTTGTTTTATTTTGTTTTCCCCAGCTGACAGTGGTTGAAGGGAAAGACACCTGATAGCACATAAGAGCATACTAACTCTGAGTTCAGAGAGACCTGGCTTTAAGTGAGTATTATTTACAAAATATTGACCTTGTGCTGCAAAATTAATCTCTCCTATCAATACATTGTGGCTATAAATAAGCCTACCTCAGGGGGCTCTTAGCTTATGAGCAGCGTTAACTGGTGCATTGAGTAAACTCCCTGAGTCCCTGTGCTGTCCATATATAACCTCCAAGCAAGGAAATAGGATTGGCCACGACTGTCAGTGGTTTTGTGTGTGTGTGTCATCACTATTAACTCATCTAATCCACACAACTCCAGGAGACAGGGCGCTGTAACTCCATTCTACAGATGAGGAGGTTATAGCACAGAGAGTTCAAATAGCTTGCTTGAGGTCACACAGATGCTAATACTGGATGCAGGAATCAAGCCCAGGCACTTGGGGCTCAAAGTCCAGGGGCACAATCCCTCCACCATGGTGCTTCTTGGTGTGACTGCCGGTCTCATGTGGTTACTCTGAGGACCAGGAAACACAGTGCTTGTGAAACACTATTGTGGAGCTGAGCACGCACAGTGCAGGCATGCTACATGCTATACTGACACCATCGGAATGTCCCAAACCAAATGAGTGTGAATCTGGTGACCTTTGCAAGAGAAGTCACCTGGGGACTTTCATTTGACTGTGGCTCTTCTTGGAGTCAGTGGCCCAAAGAAACCATCATGACCACTATCTCAGGGAAAGAATTAGAACTGTGTATTGACCATCATCACAACCAATGCTAGATTTGATGGCTCAGCTATTGTGCCGTTTCTTACTTTGGACTTCCAGTTAGATTTCATCAAATTAAAGTACACAGAGACAAAAGTAGATTTTCAATTTTTTTTATTGTGCCTATTACGAAAAACAAAGCTTAGAATTCAAGTAGCAAAAGTGTCAGGTTCAGGATGCATAAAATGCAAGGCTTCAAGGCGGTTCTGGTTAAATGGCCCTAAGGGATGTGACTAGAGCTGCATGCTGTCTGTACTCAGCAGGCATGGTTATTTGGGTTGCCGGAGGAGCTGATGGAGATCATGGAGACAGTGGTGCTAAAGGACTACCCCGTGGCCCTGCCGCTGAGTGATGGCAGAATTCATTGTTGTTACAGAGTAAGACTGTCTGTTTGCCCGGTGGTTTGAAAAACCATTACACAATAATGACATAACAAAAAGTACACATGTGAACTGAAATAACCCAAACTCAGAAAGAAAGCCCAGTTAGATCCTCAGGGGTCATTTTTAGGGAAAATAAATGAAGACTAGCTGACTTCCTTCTGCCGCCGTCTGTTACAAACTGTTACCATGTCACAGTCTTCTGTTCTCCTGAACAGACGGAAGGCGATGATGGAAAAATAGATGGCACCCTTGAGGAGGAGGAGGAGGTAGGTGTAATAGGCAGAGACGTTGCTGAGCTGCAGCTGCAGGGGGGCTAAGAGAAGTTATTTAGTTAATTTCACCTCTTCTTTTGAAAGGATGGGACATATTAATGTGAGGGTGATCACAGCTATCTATTTCTGATGACTTCCATTGCACTCACACCCACACACCACCAAAACCCAAAGGCAAATATCTACCACAACCACCACCACAGACGACAAGACACTCAGAATCCAGTTTACAAGTAATGTCAATCAACAACCTCTGCTAAATCAACTTAGAACATTCCAAAATAGCAAAAGTAAGGTTGCATATTTTATGAATAAGTCCAACTGGAAAAATGTATTTGTTATAAGTAGCTTTTAGCATTTCTTCACTCCTACCATGTCTCTAGGTAATAACAGCTAACAACATTCATTAACCACTAACCAAATGCCAAACACTTGTTCTGAGAGCTTTGCATGCAAAGCTTTAATCTAATTTCTGTTTTACAATAAACCATGAGATTATTATTGTCATTCTTATTTTACAAATCAACTAAGGACAGAGAAGTAATTCGCCTGATGTCACGCACTTAGGAAGCGACAGCAGCCAGATTTTAATCCCAGCAACATGACCTTAAAGAACACACTCTTAGGTACTCTTTAATTCTGCATCTCCAAGTGCAATAAATACCCCAGACATCAAAAGGTTAAGCATAAAGATAAAGCTGAATTCTGGTTTGGAAGTATCTAAGCCATTACACATTATGTATACAGTGAGATTACTATTAAGGGTACAATCCATGCATATTTGGTGGTGTCCCGTGTTGTGGGTGAGAGGTTTTAGTAAAAGGGCATTACCTAAATTGGAAGAGAGCAGTTAATCCAAATTCTCTGAAACTTCAGGAGGTCATGGCTCACCCACCTGTCCTTCCTAAATGTCTCTCATTGTGGCTATGATGTTATAGGATGATTGCACTTAGTATCCTTTGAAGTTTTGGAAGAAATATATGATGTCAAGAAATAATTAACGACAATTATGGTTAGCTAGACTTGGTATTCAATGAACCACAGGCTGCTCTTCCTATGAAATTTTCCCCTTTATATGATCCAGAATCAACAGCAATTTCTGGGGGAAGAGATCTCAAAGGTGGTGTGCTCGTAACCCCTTGCCCTTGGTCAGGTAGAGTGTTAGCTGAGGCCCAGAGCCCCCTTGATATTGGAAATGGAGGAAAGATCCGCAGGGCTAGAGCCAATGTTTCTAGTCACTGTCTTTGTACATATTTTTGGAGAAAGGGCCAGAAAGTAGTACTGATTCTGTGCCAGCTAAATGGGATACCATATGCTAGACATTTCACATAGGTGAGCTTATCTCTTCAATAACTGAGTGAGGTGTATCTATTCCCAGTTGGCAAATGAGGAAAATGCTGCTAAGGAAATGTGCGTGATTTTCCTATATTGATTCAATTCATCATTAAAAAGAATTGGCAGTCAAGTCTACTCTGTGGTACTGTGAAGCCCGTGTATATACTCATCCCATGTGTCCACCATGTGTCAGGCCTGTGTTTGGGGTTTTTTGCACTAGAACTATATCTTAGAGGAGGAAGGGAGAACTGAGCAGTGTATGAACTCTTGATTCAGATGTTTTGTGCTGAAAGCTTAGATCTAGCTGTGTGGCATGGCGCAAGGAACTTAATTAATTTTAACTCATTGCTCTCATCAGTAAAATGGGGAAAAGATTATTCTATCACTTCATAGGATTATTATAAGAATTAGATAAGAAAATACATGCAAAACTCAGTATAATGCCTTCAGTGTAAGAAGATTTCACTACATGTAAATTTATGTTATTAGCTACTAGCAAGGACTGAAGACTTAAGAAATCTTGAGGCACCTTGATATTGTGTATTCCTCAGTCATTAGAAATAAAAGCCATACAAATGAATAAATTCCATTGTTGATATAATTCAGAGCCTATTACTGCATCCTTTAATTTACTTTCATCTCCTCCCAAAACCAGCATTTACTGTGTTAGGATAACTCTCAAGAAATGATCGTTGATTTAAAGAATCACTCAGTCTATTCTGCAACATCCAGCCATTCTAGTTTTCCTACTTTAAAACAAGGAGGTTCCAAAGTTTACTTTATCTAGAGGGGAAAAAAAAATGCCATAGCAGAGGAAAAAAATGGCAAACATATACAAAAACTTACATATTTCATCTTTCAGACAAACTTTTCTGGAAATAATGGCAGGGACATCTAGAAGAAATAAGATGACGTATTAGTCAATTGTTCATGCCTTTTATTTGACAGTGATATATATGTGTACGTTTGTGAGTGTGTGTATATATACATATATACACATATATACACATACATAAAATATGCCAACAGAGAGACAGGAGATATTCATGAGCTCCACAATTCCAGGAATAAGTGATCTTATCGACTATGAACAAGGGAAGTTCCAAAGGTAATTTATTAGGAGAGAAAAAAGTGCTTCAGTGTGACATAAAGGCAAACATACAAAAACCTACCACTTTCCTCTTTTGGGGAAACATTTGTACAATCAGTATCAGTGACAATTGAGGTGACAAGAAGAAGTGAGAGCACCAATTAGTAAATTATCAACGCCAATTACTCAACAGTGTGAGTATGTGTTTATATGACTATGTGTGTATGCGAACAAAACCACACACACACATGAGCTGCTGACCATTCTTAAAAATGTGAGCCCTACGATTTCAGGACTAGTTCATCTGATTCTATGTAATTCAGTAGTTCTAACTCATGAATTATATTGCTGCACATGAAGATGTTGACCCGCATGAAGAAGACATTTCTTATTCTTTATCAGAACTGGACGGTGATATCCAAGACTATCTTGTTTTCCTTCTGTATTCCTAGCTCCTACCACAGTGCCTGACACAAAGAAGGTGTTGGAGAAACACTTGTCAAATGGATCTGAAAGCAGGTTTGGGCTATAGTATTTGGGATAAATTCCAAGAATAAAAATGCTAGGTTAATCACGTTTATATGTTAAAATATCTTTAAGAACTGAGTTAACGTGTTTTAAAACAATTTCTTTCCCTTAACAGTGACTTACTCATCAAAAGATAAATCAAAATCTATTACCATGAATTGATTGAGGAAAAAACAATAAAGTAACAGTTTTTCGTAATAAAACTGTATATGTATCCTAAGTTCTCTCTCTCAACAAAGCTTGGTCAGATTCTTGGACCAGACTAGTTTTATCTTCTGCAAAATCATTTCCAGGAGTGGTCCTTCCAAGTTGTATTCTTAGCTTTTCACAAAAACTAAAAAGTTCCAAGAAACAGCATTAGAAATTGGCTGGAGAATGGCATTAACAGAACTGTTCTCGTTAGCTTTATTGCCCTGAGAAGCCCATAGGAGACATTTTTTTTTAACAAGATAGGCACCAAGTAAAACACATTCTGAACTGGAGCTTGTCTATGATGATCATCACCGTGGAAATTGCTATACTTATTATTTTTCCCTGATCACTAGAACAATCAAAACCTAACAGGACACTTCAGCCCAGTGGTTCTATTAAACATGTGCTTTGCATATCTTGCCTCCCTTATGTTACTTTGCTGTAGAAATAGTATATTAGGGATGTTGGATTAATCTTACCATACTGACTTCCAGGAAAGGAAAACAAAAAATAACAATAAATACATAAATAATGACGTGTGTTAGATTTTCAAAAGCAAGTGCTTTCACTGACAGTATGTCATTTGCTCTTAATTACCGCCCCAGGACAAAGCCAGGGAAAGTTTTTGAACCTAATTTGATCACGGGGGAATCTAAGGATCTGAGTAGATAAAGACTGACTTCAGAAATTCTGAAATGTCTCTGCACAATTTGTTATGTACTTGTTCCCTACGGCTTCGAAAGGGCTTGTTAACCACAGGGAAAAGTACAAACTGATTCCTTCTTATTTATAGGTGCTCTGTGGCCTGTGGTCTCTTGTGTTCATACTCAGGGCTTTAAGTTCTGAGACTAGATAGTTACCAGACCACTGCCAGGACCAAGGTACACTCAGTCCTCTCCACACTGTCTAAAAATATGCAGCATCTGCATCAAAGGGACTCCTCTGGGACATCATGCCTGAATCATGAGTGACCCTGAGAGGCTAGGAAAAGAAGATTTTCTCTTAAAATAGTGCATCCTCCTTGGGACAGTAAGTCATGCCACTGTCCTCATCCACACATCATTTCCAGGCCTGGCACAGGCCAGTTGTTCAATAAATGTTTGATGAACTGTATTTAAAATGGCAAGGAACACATTCATTATGTAGAATGGAACTATAGGTGTATACATCAGCCTTACTCCACCTCCAATGATGGAATTTTTCCTTGTGGTGTTGTATAAAATACAAATCAGGAAACCCTAAGACCATAATAAAACTTCAGTGGCCAAATTATTTATTTTTTGTGGAATTGCCATCTTACTCCCTCAAATGTATAGGATTTAGTGATCTAATAGCATTGTTTTGAGGTGGTACTCTGAGTAAAGCAAGATGAAAGTGAGAGTGATTCTGCTCTTGAGTAGAACATTCCTGAAAGATGTGTAATTGCCCTTGTTTCCTGATCAATAAGATCATCCAAAGTGGGATCTCTCTTTGAGCATCTCTTGTGTGCTAGAGCTAGGTGCTGTCACGGATCTTGTGTCATATAATCCATCCAACCATCTGAAAAGAAATCATTGTGACCTTAATATTTCAGAGGATGAGTCACAGGCTGAGAAAGTTAAGTAAAATTTTGTTTTTCTTTATTTTATGTTCCAAAGTCTTTACTACCTCAAATTTGGAGGGAAATAGAGGGATATTTGTGCTTCCAATAAATGAAACAACCTTTAAGAAAGACTTACATTTGTTTAGTTAATGATAATGATGGTGAGCCAGACGAGCTTTTCAGTGGACCACAAGGCTGCATCTCTTCGTAAGATGACATATTTTATCTTCAAGCATCAGAACTGCAGAATTATTACCTTTTGTTGTGGAGAGGGGTCCCACATGTGATGTGTTCCTACCTCATTGCCCTTAGTCAGACAAGGTGTTAGCTGAGGTCCAGAGACCCCTTGATATTAGAAATGGAGGAAAGATTAGCAAGGCTAGAGCCAATGCTTCTAGTCACTTTCTTTGTAGATATGTAGGGAGAAAGGGCCAGAAATTAGAACTGATTCTGTGGCAGCCAAATGAGATGCCTTATGCTAGATATTCAGCAAAGGTGAGCTCACCTCTTCAATAACTGCATTGGGCGTAATCATTTTAGATTGGCGGATGACGAAATTATTGCTCATAAAATGTAAGTAATTTTCTTATATAGATGCAACTAATCATTAAAAGACTGGGGTTCAAGTCCAGTCCATGAAATGTAAATAAATAAATATAATGAATAAATAAATAAATATATATATTTTATATATATGTGTGTGTATATATATAAATCTGTCAACAGAGACACGGCAGAGACACTCTTTAAAAGTTTGTGCCCTATAATTCCAGGCATAAATATTCTTGTCTACCATAAAGGAAAGGGAAGTTCCAGGTGAAGTTCAAAAGGTGATTTAGTCATGAGGGAAAAAAATGCCATACCATGACATGCAGGCTAGCATATAAAAGAATTTACCACTTTGCTCTTTTGGGGAGGCTATTATAGCATTAGTAGCAGAAAAAACTGGAAGAAATTAGGGCAATTATTGCTCAATTGTCCATGCCCGTTCTTTGACAGTGTGTGCATACATAGGAATATATACATATAAATATATGTATAGATATATATTTATATTTGGCAGACAAGAGACATAGTCACCAAAAATGTGAAAATTATGAGCCCCCAAATTCCAGGAATAATTGGTCTTTTGTATTTTAAGCCTGAGAAATACAAAAGTTAAGTTGATCCAGAAGGGAAATAGCCTATAGCATGACAGGGAGGCAAGCACAGACAATGACTTACTGCTTGTATCTGTCGGAGAAGCCATCGTAGAACCAACGGTAGTGGCCATTGAGGTGACAACTAGAAGAAATGAGACCAAGATTAGTCAATTCTTCGTGTCCATCACTTGATAGTCTTGATATGTGTTTATATGAGTAGGTGTGCATGCACACACACACACACATGCACACACACAATCTGCTGACAGAGAGACTGTCCTTAAAAACACGAGCCCTACAATTCCAGGACTAGTTCATCTGATTCTCAATAATTCAGTAGATCTCATTCATGAATTGTGTTTCTGCACATGAAGATGTTGACCTTCAAGAAGTACAGATCTTGTTCTTCTTTTCACAACTGAACAGTGATATCCAAGACTATCTATTTTCCTTCTATATTCACAGCTCCCAGCACAGTGCCTGTCACAAATGGAGAAATACTTGTTGAATGGAAAAAGAAACAGAAAATGTGGCTCCTCTAAATTCTTCAGCACACACTACTGACATGAAGAGTTGCTGCCAAAATCAATTCATCAACTCGCAGAATGCTCATTAGGACCTCACCTTTGAAGGAGTCTGGTTTAGCCTAATTCTCCCTGAATCAGACATACTTTTCCAGAGCATGAATATCGCAACATCCCCAACTCAGCACATGATTCTCTGGAACTGTGTTGTTTGTGGATGTGACAAGAGCAGGAATAAGAACTAATAGATTTTGAGTGATTACTTCTGCAGCAGGCACTATGTTAAATGCTTCTCGTGCATTGTCTCGTTTAATGCTCCACTTACATTGAAGTGAGTTGTGTTTTGAAAGACCCCTTGACACAAACAAAGTATGGTTGGAAATATAAGTATCTTGCTGATAGTTATACCAGTGAGGGCATAGCCAATATTCAAGGGATTGTTGTGGGAGATTCAGTAAGATAGAGCACGTGGAAAGGACTTTGTAAAAGTAATCCATAGAAATAGAAAATAATCTATAGCAACAACATAATTCCACCATTGTGGACACTGAAATAGTGTTCTCTTCCAGTTGTGTGAAATATTCTTAGCAAAGAAATTTTCTATTACAGGAGCCCTGCATTTCATTGCATTTCTTTCTAGAGATAGAAACATAGACCACGTCACATTTATACTTCTCTGAATATACACAACCTGAGGTGAGATTTATCTATGTTCCTATTTTTTTAAAAGAAGTCAAACATTTAAAGTTAAATTTTTTTAAAAAGTTAATTGACTATTGGAGGAACACAGAGTCGAAAGCATTGTTTTAGTTTGTCTGTTTTCTATTAGATGTGTTCTTGTGCAGATGGACATGGTTCTGGTACATAATTTTATGCACTGTATTGGATGTTTCTTTCATGCCTCTGAAAGTGGGTTTGAATGATAGGATTTGGAATAAATTTCAAGAATAAAAATGTTAGGTTAATCATGTTTATATATTAAGATATCTTCAAGAACTAACTTCAATGTGTTTTAAAACTCATTCCCTTAGCAGTGACTTATTCATCAAAAGATAAATCAAAGTCTCTTATTACCACTTATTGATTGAGGAAAAACAATAAAGCAACCCGTTTTCATAATAAAATCTATGTATGTATACTAAGTTCTCTATCTCAACCAAGCTTGGTCAAACTCTTGCACCAGACTAGTTATCTTCTTCAAAATCATTTCCATGAGCAGTCCTTCCAAGCTGTATTCTTAGATTTATCAAAAACTAAAATTTCCAAGAAACAGCATTACAAATTGGCTGTAGAACGGCATTAACAGAACTGTCCTCATTAGCTTTGTTGTCCTGAGAAGCCCATATGAAACATTTGTTTCAGAAATTAGGCACCGAGTAAAACACATTCTGAACTGGAACTTCTCTATGATGATCATCGCCATGGAACTTAGTATACTTATTTTTCCCTGATCACAAGAAAAATCAAAACCTAACAGGACACTTCAGCCCAGAGGTTCTATTAAACGTGTCCTTTGCATATTTGCTTCACCTCTGTTTCTTAGCTGTAGAAATAGTAAATTAGGGCTATTGAATTAATCTGATTTTATTGAGTTCCAGGAAAGGAAATTAAATGATACAATAAATCCATGAATAAATACATCCGTGTGGTGTTTTCAAAAGCAAGTGTTTTCACTGACATTATTTCATTTACTCTACATCATGGCCCAAGGAGAAAGCCAGGGCAAGTGTTCAAACCTAATTTGATCACTGGTGAAACCAAGGATGCCGGAAGATAAAGACTGACACTCAAATTTCACACTGGTACACGGCAAACGTTTTCACACATTTTGTTCTGAGCTTCTTCCTCACTGCTTCTAAAGGGCTTGTTAACCACAGGGAAAAGCACAGACTGATTCCTTCCAATTTACAGATGCTCTGGGGCCTTTGCTTTGTGGTTCTCATACTCAGGACTTTAAGTCCCAAGTCTAGAGAGTTACCCAGACCACTGTCAGGACCAAGGCTCATTCAGTCCTCTGTCTACACTGTCTAAAAACATGTAGCATCAGCATTAAAGGGGCCCCTTGGGGACATCATGCCTGAATCACGAGTGACCTTGAGTGATTAGGAAAAGAAGATATTCGCTTACAATAGTGCATTCTCCTGGGGACAGTAAGTCATCCCACTCTACTCATCCATATATCCCTTCCAGGCCTGGCACAGGCCAGTTCTACAATAAAGGCCTGTTGAGCTGCATTTACCAATGGCAAGAAAGACATCCATTATGTAGAATGGAAGTGTGTGCACCCATCAGCCTCTCCCAATCTCTAATTCTGGAGTTTTCCCTAACGATGGTATATGAAATGCAAATCTGGAAACCCTAAGACCGTAATAAAAATGCAGAGGCCAAATTATTTATTTTTCTGGTGAGCTGCTGTCCAGCTCCCTAAAATGAACACCATTTTGTCACCTAACAGCATTGATTTTGGGTTGTACTCTGAGTAAATCAAGATGAAAGTGTAAGTGACTCTGCTTGCTGAGAAGAACATTCCTGAAAAACGTATAATTGCTCTTATTTCTTGGTCAAGTCAGATCATCCAAAGCGGAACCTCTTTTTGAGCATTTCTTGTGTCCTGAGCGCCAGGTGATTTCCCATATCTTGTTTCATTTAACCCATGCAACCACCCTAAAAGACATTATTGTGACCTTGATATTTGAGGGGACAAATCTCATGCTGAGAAAACTTAAGTAAATTTTTATTTTTCTTTTTTATGTTTTGAAGCCTATACTATGTTAATTCTATGGAGAAATAGAGTGTCATTTATGCTACCAAAAAATGGAGTAACGTTGAAGAAAGAATTATATTTGTTTAATTAGCAATAGTGATGGTGAGCCAGACTAGCTATTCAGTGAACCACAAGGATGAGTTTCTACCTGATAAAATTTCCCTTTGGCAAGTTTTATCTTCGAGAGTCAGAACTGCAGAATCATTAGCTCTTGTGTGGAAAGGGATCTCACAGGTGATGTGCTCATAACTCCTTGGCCTTGGTCAGGCAAAGTGTTAGCTGAGGTCCTGAGGCCCCTTGAGATTAGAAATGGAGGAAAGATCCGCAGGGCTGGAACCAATGATTCTAGTCACTTTCTTTGTACATATGTAGGGAAAAAGGGCCAGAAATTAGTACTGATTCTGTGACAGCCAAATGAGATACTCTATGCTAGACATTCAGTATAGGTGACCTTATCTCTTCAATCACTGCATCAGGTACAATTATCACTGGTTCGAAGATGAGGAAATTGCTGCTCAGAAAATGTGAGTAATTTTCCTATATTGATGCAGCTAATCATTAAAAGAACTGGGGTTTGAGTCCAGTCTGGGATGCTATGAAGTCCCTGTACTTACTCACCCCCCACCATATGTCAGTCGTGTCTCAAGGCCTTGGCTGTGGGGTTTCTGGTTCTAGGACCATACCATAGAGGAAGAAGGAAGAGCTAAGTAACTGTATGAACTCTTCATTCAGATGGCTTATTTGAATCCCCGGGTCTAGCTGTGTGGCATGGAGTAAGGGACTTAACTAATTTTAACTTATTTCTCCCATCTAAAAAATTGTGAAAAAATATTGTACCACTTCATAGGAGTGTTATGGGTGTTAACCAGGAAAATGCACAAAACCACAGTACAATACCTTCTGTATAGAAAGCTCTCTACTGAAAGTACCTGTCAGTTCTTGTTATTTGGTACTAGCAAAGACCAAAGACTTAAAAAAAATCTAGAAGCAACTTCATATCACATATTCCTCAGTCATTAGAAACAAAAGCCACACAAATGAATGCAGTCCATTGCTGAAATAATTCAGAGTCTATTACTGCACTCTCTAATTTTCAATCATCTCATCCCAAAACAGGATTTACTGTTTTAAGATGGCTCCTAGGAAATGATGGTTGGATTTAAAATATCACTCAGTCAATTCTGCAACATCTAGCCGTTTTAGTTTTCTAGTCTTAAGACAGGAGAGTTCAAAAGTTAAATTTATTCTGAGGAAAAAAATGCTATAGCGTGACATAAATGCAGACATATACAAAAACTGAATAGCTTTCATCTTTTAGAGAAGCTTTTCTAGAATTAATAGCTGGAAACTCTAGAAAAAAGGAGAGCAAGTATTAGTCAATTTTTTATGACTTTAGTTGGTGAATTACGCATATATATGTGTATAAAATCTGCCAATGGAGGGACAGGAGAGATCCTCATTAAAAATATGTGCTCTACAATTCTAGTAATGACTAATCTTATCTACTATAAACCAGGAAAGTGCAAAAGGTGATATGATCAGGAGGGGGAAAAAAATGCCACAGCATGACACGAAGACAAACGTATAGAAAAACTTACCACTTTGCTCTGTTGGGGAAGCTGTTGTACCATTAGTAACAGTGACAACTAGAAGAAATGAGAGCAAATATTGGTCAATTCTCCATGCCCAGTATTTGGCAGTCTGTGCATGTGTATAGCTATATATATGTGTGTATATATATATATATATACACACACACATATATATGTGTAATCTGCTGACAGAAAGGAGGGACAGTCACCAAAGATATGAAAATTATGAGCCCCAAAATTCGAGGAATAATTGGTCTTTTGTTTTTTAAGCCTGAGAAATACAAAAGTTAAGTCCATGAGAAGACAAAAAACCTATAGCATGACAGAGAGGTAAACACAGACAATGACTTACTCCTTTCCTCTGTCGTAGCAGCCGTTGTAGGAGCAATAGTGGTGGTCATTGAGGCGACAACTAGAAGAAATTAGAGCAACATTAGTCAATTTTTCATGCCTGTTGCTCAATACTCTGGTTATGTCTTTGTATGAGTAGGTGTGTATGTACACACACACACACACACACACAGACACACACACACACATAATCCACTGACAGAGAGCTTGCCCTTAAACACGTGAGCCCCATGATTCCAGGAGTAGTTCACCTAATTCTATGTAATTCAGTAGATCTCATTCAGTTATCTTGTTTCTGCACCTGAGGATGTTGACATTCATGAAGAATATGTTTTTTTCTTCTTCATCACAAGTGGATGGTAATGTCCAACACTATCTTGTTTTCTTTTTGTATTCACAGTTCCTGGCACAGTGTCTGTCACAGAGGAGGTGAGGAAGAAACACTTGTCCAATGGAAAAAGAAACAGAAAATGTGGCTACTCTATAGTCTTCGGCACACACCGCTGACATGGAGAGTTGCTACCAAAATCCATCCATCAAAATTAGAATCCACAAAAGAATCTCACATTCGAAAGTATTTGATTTCGCAAATTTCCCATGTAATCTGAGGAAGCACGTGGACAATATACAGACATAGCTACATCCATGTTATGTTTTCAAAAGCAAGACCTTTCACTGACATTATTTCATTTGCTCTTTGTCACAGCCCCAGGAGAAAGCCAGGGCAATTGTTGGCACCTCATTTGGTCACTGATGAAACTCAGGATCCAAGAAGGTAAAGATTGACTTCAGAAATTCGGGCTAAAAGGTCTTCACATGTTTCATTATGTGCCTGTTTCGCACTGTCTGAAAAGGGTTTGTTAAATGAAATAATCCAGACAGAGAAAGACAAATACCACATGATTTCACTCATATGTAGAAGATAAACTCATAGATAAAGAGAACAGATCAGTGGTTATCAGAGGGAAAGGGGATTGGGGGCAGTGGATGTAAGGGGTAGAGGGGCACACAGATATGGTGACAGATAACAATTAGACTACTGGTGGTGAGCACGATGTAGTCTACACAGAAACTGATAAATAATAAGGAACACCTCAAATTACACAATGTTATAAACCATTATGACCTCAAATAAATAACTGAAAAAAGAAAGAATACGAAGATAAAAGCTATACGTCTCTGAATATCTGTCCTTTTGTAGAATCTGAGTTTGGAACCATGCAAATATTTTACAAAGTTATAAAACAAAATTAATTTTTTAAAACTTCCTAAAAAGTAAAATGAAACAAATGAACCTGTACATCCAGTTGGTGGCTTAAGAGAGAGAGAAGATATTCCAAGAAGCATTACAACCTTAATTCTACTGTACAAACAAACCACAAAAACTGCAATAAACTCCTAAATTGTTTTCAGTATATTGTTGAAGGTCATGTTAGTATTGTTATTCTGAAATTAATGTTTGTATTCTAATAAGAAATTACATTGCTGTTATTGAGAACAAGATGATTTGGCGTCTGAGAAAAGAGTTGCCCGTATAAGCTGGATGAGGTTAAATAAAACTGTTATTATCCTGAATTTCAAAAAAAAAGGGCTTGTTAACTCAGGGCCCCAGGAGAAAATCAAAGCAAGTTTTCAAACCTAATTTGATCACTAATGAATCTAAGGATCCGAGTAAATAAAGAAAGACTTCAGAAATTTGTAGTATTACACAGCAAGTTCTCTGCACAATTTATGTGCTTGTTGCACAGGGCTTCAAAGGGCTTGTTAACCACAGGGAGAAGTACAAACTGATTCCTTCTCATTCATGGGTGCTTTAGGGCCTTTGGTCTGTTGTGTTCATTCTCAGTTATATGAAATACAAACCTGGAAAAACTAAGACCATAACAAAACTGCAGTGGCCAAATTATTTGATTTTCTGTTGATCTGTCATCTGGCTCCCTCAAATGAACACCATTTGGTTGCCTAATAACATTGTTTTGGGGTTGTACTCTGCATATAGCAAGATGAAAGTGAGAGTGACACTGCCTGCTGAGTAGAAAAATCATTGTCATCTTAATATTTTAGAGGATGACTCTCAGGATGAGAAAAGTTAAGTATGTTTTCATTGTCTTTTTCTTTTTACTGTTCCAAAGCATATACTATTTTAATTCTACGGGGAAATACAGGGTCAATTTTGGTGCCAATAAATGGAATAACATTTAAGAAAATTTATGTTCGTTTGTTTTTCCTTAACATTTGACAGAAATGGTGTTGTATCCCTTTGCAAAGAAATGTTCTGAGAGGTTATATTTACATACACATACCTTGATTTACTGAAGGAAAGAGAATCTCTTGGTCAACCCCTCCTTTATTTTTCTCGTGTTGGACGATACATTTGTGTTCTTTATCCATTGACTCTTCAGTCACGGTCAGCCAGCTGAGTTTCATGTATGTGTCACTGATCTTCATGGTTTTTCCCTCCTGGGACTCCAGAATTGTATTGCCATTCTTTTCTTTCCAATATACCTTGATAACATCTGGGAAAAAATTCTCAAGAAGACAAAGATGTGTTCCAGCCTTGTGGAGGTTGATTTCAGCAATTGAAGGAAGAAAAATGGTGGGCTTGGGAGAAGTGTCTGCAGGAAGGCGTCTATCTATGGGGGAAATGGAATAGCAATTAAAAAGATTCATCAGAGAAGCACAAAAACTGTGTGGTCTGAAACAACTTAATGCAAAGTAAAAGGAAGAAAAGCCACCATTGAGTTAGTGCTCACCATGGCCTTCCTTCCACTACAGGTTGTGGGTATTCATTGTTCTTATTTTCAGTAGGAAAAGAAGTTCCAGAGGTAATGTAACTTGCCCAGAGTCACAGCTCTAACTGGCAGAGCCTGGATTAAACCTTGGTCTTTGTTCTTTCTCCACATGCTAAGATGGGGTGTGACTCTTAACTGCCCCATTTCAAGGCATCTAACATTCAAGAACACGTGCATTTTTTAAAATCTCTTTTGTTCCATCATAGTGGAGTTTGTTTTCAAGGTGAGTGGGAAGGTGGCGGGGATGGGGAGGAGATCAGGTAATGTTGATGATGTCTCTGCACATGAAACCGTTTGGTCTTTTTAAAAGTATTTCCCTTTCCTATCCTGTGATTTTTGTGGCTTATGCTCTTTGGGCCAAATAACATTTTCTCATGTTCTGCAGCTCTGCGAAACCTCACTCTTCATTGAACTGTTTCTGGAATGCACCATATTTGTCTTATTTGCCATATAAATAAATATCAGGAGGAAGTTTTTCATTTTTTCGTAATACACTGCACAGTCACTTGTTATTCAGAGTCCATTTCCATGTGTACTTGTCAATAAGGTAGACCTTTTAGCTTCAAATGTGGAACCATGCCCAGTTATGAGTAAATGAAGATCTCCCACTTGATGTCTAATTTTATATAATATCTCAATTTCACATCTGAACCACCCCATGGTTTTGAGTAGGGCGTACAGAACCTCCAAATTACTTACAATGTTTGGAATTTAGAAGCAAAATTTCTAAAACTTCTATTAAAAAATTATTGATTATTTTCAGAAACTCTATGAGATTAATCTTATCAAGTAAATGCACTCATCAGGATTTTGTTTCACTTCGGAAAAGGTTCACCAAAAGCATATTTTATTTTGGAATTTCATTTGAAGTTCAAGCACGACGAAGAATACACCACATTTTGAATCTCAGTGTCTCCTCTGAAATTCGTATCTTCCCTAAAATGCTGCTGAACTGTTTTAGAGTTCCACTATTTTCTTTGTCCTCACCTGCTCAATAAAGTACATATATCACTGGTGTAATGTTAAATGTCACAGTTCCAGAATCTCTTGCAGACATAATGTCAAAACACATAAGAGAACATCATCGTTTACAAAGGCATGTCACTTGGATGCTGGAATGTTAGTTGACTACACATTTATTGTTAATCTAGTGATGGGAATTATAAATATTAAAACTCTTTCCAATTTTATTTCCAATTGACACACAGATGCTTTACTAATATTCTCTTTGTGCTAGTTTGGAGTTGCATTATTCAATGGACAATTTCTTACGAAAAGAAGGATTAGACGTCTCATTTGAGAAGAAAAGAAAAAAGAATTCTAGGGAAGATCTGACTCTAGCAAAACTCCTGATTTTTGCACTAAATCAGTAAGCAAACAAAGTTGAGTTCTTCCTCATGCTTAGGTATAATTAGGTCTTAATATGCTTATTTTAATTTTATACATCTTGCTTCTAGTGTAAATGACACTTTATTGATGATGACAGTAAGACACTATATTTCTCCAACCTTATACTTTGTTTGTAATGTAAAAAGTGTGTTATCAAACAAGATGAATTTTTCAATCCTACATCATATTTACATAAGTTTAGTCTTTAGTCAATATATTAAAGAATCTAATTCTCATCTTATGAGCTTTTGTTTATTCATAGGAATACCTCTGCTTCGTTACAACGATGAAATTGAAATTGAAATGATCAATTGAAAAATTTCTGTGTAACACCACACTATTCTTACCACCTGTCACTTTTCCTTACCTGGAATTTGTTTCATTCTTTTAAAGATAAAATGAATCTTGAATTTCCATAACTTTCTCAATATAATAGTCAGCTGAGTATTAAATAGTGTACTTGTGTATATAGGGTTAGTTCCTATATTTTAAATAATTATATGAGATGCTTTTTACTTAAAAATTCTTTTCAAACCTTTTAACAGTGTTTTTCGTGGTCAAAATAATTTTCATGTTGCATAGAAAGGAAATCAGGTAAAAAAATTAATAAACCTAATTCATTTATATAAATTCCTCTGCATGATCAAATAACACATTTGAGTGAAATTGCCTGAGTTGTTTATATTTTACTAAGATGCAGCAGTATAATTTCTACATAAATTTAGCAAATCTCAACTACATTTTTAATTGAAAGTATGATATTTCAAACCTACACATTGATATTTATTTGTGTTCTCTAGTTTCTCCTTTTAATTTTTCTTTTATCAAGTAAGCAATTACAGCTCTTTCATATTTAAGTGAGCGTTTCAAATTTGTGACAAGTTTCTGCAATAATTGATTTTACACCAAACATTTTCTGTATGAATTTAAACTTTTTTCTGATAAACATGAACATGAAGCTCAAACTTCTTGCTTATAAATTTTAAAGCCAATAAATATTGCTATTTGAAATGATATCAGCTAAAATATAGACTATGATTTAAAGCATAGAACAAAAACAAAATAAAAGACAAACAAATTTTAATCTCACTTTTCTTGCCAAGTAAGGGAAAAATCTGCTAAAGAGAAACAAACACCTCCAAATTCCTACCCTGTGTGTGAGTGGACAGACAGTAAGATAACTTTCCAGTGGAGCAGTTGGAAGGAAGCTGATTCTCTGGAGAGTTGCTGCTTTGTCCATGTCATTGGCTGCAAACCACTCCCCACACTGGATACAAATCTCTCTTCACATTTGAATTGGGGGAACGTGTATCCAGCACTTGTTAGGTGTTGGACAATGTGCCAAGTACTTTACTCACACGATTTCATTTGACTCTCATACAAGCCCTGCTGGATACAAACTGTCATCCCCTTTTATGGATTAGGAAACTGAGGCCAGAGAATCGTCCCCCAAGTTCACATAAGCAGGACGTAAGTGGTGGAGCCAGGTCAGCCTGACTCCAAAGACCAGGCTCTTTGACAACACCCTCTCATTGTTAGAAAGGAAATGTGTCAACTAACAAAACTCACCAGTGATAATAAATTTTATCCTTGGACCAAACACTTTCATGATAATTTCATACGTCGTATTTCAGTTCCCTACGTAACTCCATATGTACACAAAACCAAATACTATTCTAATCGTTGCACAACGGTATCCTTGCTGTCCTTGTGACAAGGATTTGTTTTAAAACCTCTTAAGATTTCAACATCCAATCCTCATCACGTTCCTGTTTTTCCTAAAGTTTCTTAACTATCATTGCAATTTAATTCCTTCTTGCCTTCCCTCTATCACCCTCAAAAGTTCCATTCTTCTGACACTTACCTGTGATGACAAGTTTTGTTCCAACACCGAAGAGTTTTGTATAATAATTCCACAGTGATCAACTCGTATCAAAAACTTTAGACTAATTAGCTTCTCTGAGTTCTTCAAATTCTAGGGCACTATGTGATCTGTGACTCAAGACACCAGGGTTTTTGTCCTGGTGCATTTTGCTCAAAACGAGTTTACAGCCAAGTTCTGGGGCTGAGAAATCAAGTAAACTAAAGGCTTTGGTGCTTTATTTGTTTGAAAACAATGATGTTAGTGTAAATCAATCCAACATCCCTACCAGAGCTGCAGTGAGACCTAAATGAAACAAGATCTGAAAAGGATTTAATTAAAAATGTTATAGAAATAGAGATTATTATTAGGTTATTATTATTATTAGTGACAATTTGTGACGACTGTGTGCTCCAATATGACATCTTAATCTCATGGGACCAAACCTTGCCCTTACTAACAGGCATTCAGTGTTTTGGCGTTGCAATTAGATGGCGACAATTAAGTGTGAAGACTTGTCCCTTTGTTTGCATTCCACTTTGCTCTAATAAGCCTGGAATTCTCAAAGCCATAGTCAGAGGAAGTGTGCCTTTCATACAACCAATAAATAGGCAATCATTGTCTTATCTTACTGCTGTATTCCCAGAGTTAAGAAAATCAAATAGAGCATTGGCTAAAGCCTAATAATATGCAGTCAGTGTATGGAACTGCTTCACTTGTGTTGTCCGAAACAAATGGTTCTTTTCCCTAATCAACAGCACAATCTATTTGCATTCCAAGTTTTCGCCAGAAATTTCAGACTCCAATTGATATCTTTCCAGTTCATGTGGAAAGTTCAGCTTGGAACTCTTGGCAGTGTGCCTTCAAGGCAAAATGGCTGGAGAGACAGCAAGAGGCCTGTCCTCAAATCCTTCTATTGTCTCGTTAGATCACTAAACGTTACCTGACTGACCGTGTCTGCTGAGAGTCACCATCTGTGGATGACATTCAATGCTACAATACCCAAAGCATTGATGCAGTGCTGGTATAAAACGGGTTTGCTGAAAGATGACTTCTTCCATTTTATAAATTGGATTTAAAGGCAATGCCCACTCCATATTTCACTTTGCTCCTAAAGGACTCATGCATTAAAATCCTTTACTAATTTTATAGTGGGATAAACTTATCTTATATGTAAATTTGATTTGTTTCATTTTACCAGTTAATGAAAAGGCTGAATTCCACTACATTTTTTCTCCTACCTTTGAGCAGAAAATTTGAGCCTGTGCTTCTTGCTAGATAATCAGAGACCTTTTTTCTTCTGCTCTCCTTAGTGGTTTTGACATTTATTTTTATTTCATGGTCTGACTGTACACACATACCTCTGAAACATTACGGGTTCAGTTCCAGACCACCACAACAAAACAAATATTGCAATTAAGCAAGTCACACAACTTTTTGGTTTCCCAGTGCATATAAAAGTTACATTCACAATATACCATAGTCTATTAAGTGTAGAAGCATTATGTCTAAAAAACAATGTACCTACCTTAATTAAAAAATACTTGATTGCTGACGAATGCCAAGTATTTGAGCCTTCAGTGGGTCCTAA